GTGTCTAAGGGCTCTGCCTGAAGAACGATTTTCACGGTACATGTACCAGTAAATGGGAAAAGGAAAATGATTGAAGGCTTTAGAAATTATTTCTAACATCTGGATTTGGACAATTAGCATTTGTTCTGGAGCTTAAAAGTGGGTAGCATTTGACATTATTAAAGATCTAGTGAGTATTGGAATTTGGGAGATTATTTTCCTGAAAGGTAAAAAAATAGATACTTGAAAGTATTCCTTCTCTCAGCACGTGAGGAAAACGTATTCATGTTTCCTTTATAAGCATCAACATTTGGGAGATCCCACGTCCACTGTGGTGTTTCTTCATGTCCTGGATTGTGTATGTGTTTACGTGTATAACACAAAAATGTAACGTATATTCCTGAAAATTTAAATCATATTCATCTCAAACAGTACATTTAAAAAGTAATTGCTCGTCCAGAAGCCGGCGACTGATCTGCCTCGCCAGAGAAGAGTGCAATGATGGTGCCAACTTGGGCCAGTGAAGCAACATCCTCCACAACTAGATTGAAGAACAAGACGACAGCAACTTGTCTGTTCCCCTTCCCCCAATTCCCCAGCACTGTTCCCATTCCCCCAACTCCCCCAATAAAAATCTTTACAAAAAAAATAAAATAAAATAAAAAAATAAAAAGTAATTGCTGGGCCGCCCGAGTGACGCATTGGTTAGGAGTTGGCTTGGGATGCCAGCTCTGAGCAGCAGGGCCCCGGTTTGGATCCCACATGAGGGCCAGAGACGCTATGCCCTCTACAGCTAAGATGGTGAACAATAGCTTGACCTGGAGCTGGGCTGCCGTGAGTTGCCGGCAACAGCGTAGCCTGCAGTGGGGCTGCAGTGGGCTGCCATAAGCTACTGTGAGTGGCCGGCAGCTGGCGGGAGCAGCCGTCCAATGGCCAGCGACCTATCTGCCTTACCCGGGAAAAGCGCAATGATAATACCAACATGGGACAGTGAAGCGACGTCCTCCACAACTAGACTGAAGAACAAAAGGACAGCAATTTGTCTGCTACCCTCTCCCGATTCCCTAATAAAATCTTAAAATATATATATATATATATATACATATATTTATATATAAAATAAAATAAATTTTTTTAAAAAGGGCCAAAAAAAAAAAAAAACAAGGTAATTGCTGGAAACTGTCTAAACAAGTAAATCAATTAAAATCATAAACATTTACCCTAATACACACCATACACACACACACACACACACACACACACACACACGGTGCCAAAAACAGAAATGTATACACATTTTAAGAAAGAAAAAACTGTATTAAAATTATAATATTCAATATATACCAATAACAAAAGATGAATACAAGTCATGTTTGACTTCTGCAATTACAAGAGGTGCTCAAAGTGGTTACCATCAGCATAATTTTAATACAGCTTTTTTCTTTCTTAAAATATCTATAGACATATATTTTTGGTACCCTCTGCATATACCGGGGGTGCCAAAAAAATGTATACAAGTGGACACTTTGGTCAACGTTGCTCAAGCAGTGGTTCGCCGTAATCAGAAGTGTCTGGACGCTGATGGGAACCACTTTGAGCACCTCTTGTAATTGCAGAAGTCAAATGTGACTTGTATTCATCTTTTGTTACCAGTATATACTGAGTTTTACAATTTTAATACCGTTTTCCTCTCTTAAAATGTGTATACATTTGTTTGGCACCGTGTGTGTGTGTGTGTGTGTGTGTGTGTGTGTGTGTGTGTATCATATGCAGAGTTCCACTTCCTTTGCCTAGGTAGTTTATATCTCACAGTGGCCCAAATGAACATTCCAGTAAAGAATAAGACACCTGTGTTTTAATGTTTATATATTATTTTGAGAAAAAAATGAATTCTGCAGATAAACAAAAAAAATATTTTTGCTTTTAAAACATTTCAGCAGAAAAACAACTAAAGGGTTTTTTTAACTTATATTTCTTAGGTTATATGATGAAGCCATTATTTCCAGAGAATAATTCCTCTTTCCAGTTGCATGAAACCATTGTCATAATAATTCGATTTAGATTGGAAAGAAACAATCATAGTCTCTTTTCAATTAAGAGACATACTTCATTTTCCAATGCCTCCATTCTCTTCATTTCTCCTAAAACTCATTATAAACCAAATAATTTTATTCAGCCCAAGCAGCTTCTGGAAATGCAATCAATGGTTACACTATAATTGTGAAGTTTTAATGTTGTCCTTTTTTTCTCAGGAATATTTTACATTAAAGGGCAGAAGAAACTCTGGCTCTTTAAAAATATTTCCTTAAGGTAGTATATCTGCTATGAAAAAATTATATAAGAAAACTATAGCTTTTCTCCAGGATTAGTATGATATAGTATAGCATTGTTAAAATACATTTTGCAAGATGGGAATGTATCAAGAAACAATGATTGTTATTATATGGTCAAACAGAGCAATTAAAAGGAAGTTTTTTTAAAAAATTACAATGCTGGGTATGTGGATTTTTAAAGTCAGCAAATTCAAAATGCATTTTTTTCCCAATATATATTTTTTGACATTTAAGATGTAATTTCACAAGAAATGCTATTCTTCTGAAAATTTGGTAATCAAGCTGGACTTTGTGATAAGATGTATAAAGGCCAAAATGAGACATATTTTGAGGTAATATATTGAAATAAAATTTTGACAAAGGGAAGAAAAGAAAAATAATTTAACAATAACTCATAGTTCCAAGAATTTCAGCCAGCACTTCACATATGTAGTTATCGCATTTACCCTTTTCAACAATCCAGAAAGAGTATTAGCATTGCCTGTATTTTAGGGATGAAGAAACAAGCTGAAAATGAATCACTCATTTACCCACAATCATACAACTGGTTAGTGGCAGAGTAAGAATTTCACACCAAATGTCAGTTCAAAATCTTTCCTTTTTAACATGAGGATTCTTGGACCTGCCGTTTCTCTCCCTCACTCACATCCAAGCCAGCACTGCAAGATAGAGGGAAATACTAGTAGGACTCTAGCCACATCGCCATTTTAGAGAGTAATTTGCCAGTATCTATGAAAATTTTCAAGACATTAAAGCATATTCTTTTATTCAATAATTCACTTTCAGAAATCCATCCTATAGAAATTCTTGTTGTGCACAGGTGTGAAACTTCAACAGTATCTATAATTTCAACAGCAACTAAAAAATAAGATCCACCTAAAGTACACAAATAGGGAATTACTTCAATATATTTATTATTGAATTATTTCAATATAATTCCACACCATCAAATTGTATATAGCGATCTATGACTGATAAATTCCTATGTACTTACACGAAAAAAACTCTAAGATATATTTTAAGAGTAAAAGCAAAATAGAATATTTAAAAAATAACATGATCTTAGTTATGAGTTATGTTAAAATTACAAATATATGTACATAGATAACATACATAGATACATAGAAAGAAAGAAAGAAAGAAAGAAAGAAAGAAAGAAAGAAAGAAAGAAAGAAAGGAAGGAAGGAAGGAAGGAAGGAAGGAAGGAAGGAAGGAAGGAAGGAAGGAAGGAAGGGAGAGAGGGAGAGAAGAAGAGAGGGAGACAGAGAAAGGAGAAAAGGAAGGGAGAGAGGGAGGAAGGCAAGCTGACAGATGATAGATTAGATAGACAGACACATAGATAGATAGATAGATAGATAGATAGATAGATAGATAGATAGATAGATAGATATAGATAGGTGATAGAGAGATAGATGATAGAGAGATAGAAAGAGAGATGATAGATAGATAGATGATAGATAGATAGATAGATAGATAGATAGATAGATAGATAGATATGGTGACATTCAGGAAGAGACCTTCCTACCATCCAATGCTACTTTTATTTTGATCTCGTAACCATGATTCATCTTTCTTCCTAGAAAATCAGCCCATGCCACAGAGCAAAGACCAAGAACTCAATGCCTCCAGCTTCCGCACAGGTCTAGCGAAGCTTCAGGACTGAATCCACCACATTCACCACAAAACACAAACAGCATTATTTACCGTTTTAAAGCCCTGTGACCTGAATCTCCTAGCCGGGCCGTCACAACACGCATAGTCCAAGCATCCCAGAACCATTCAACAGTAACAAAGTCACATTATTCTGCTATTCTATACTAGTAAGAACTCATATTTATTCATGTGACAAGCATTTCCTGAGGGTTTACCGTGAGCCAGCTTCTCAAAAGCGGTGTTGTCGGGGTAGAAGGGATGAATCAAATTAGACGAAGATCGTGCCCCGAATGAAACAAGCAACCAGAGTGGATGCGCTGTGAGTTATATGTGCATAAATGACACACTTGAAGGTCAAAGGGGAGCAGGTGACCTTAGAAAGGCACAGAAAGCAGGCACAAACTCTTGCCTCAGTGGTCTGCACATCTGGAAGCCCGGGGGCTCTCTGTAAGATTCGAAACTTTGAATGTAAGTTGTTCGTGTAACTTTCTTGGCTTTGCTATTCACAATACAGTAAAACCTTGGATTGCGAGCAACGTGGTTTGCGAGTGTTCCACAAGACGGGCAAACATTTCTAATACATTTTAACGTGGTCAACGAGCGATGTCTTGCAACATGAGGAGTTTGTTTCCGGAACAAATGATGCTCGCAAACCAAGGTATTACGGTTCTTTTAAGCCCTTGCTGACGCTGCAGCACTTTACTGTGCAGTGTGATCAAGATCAAGCCCACGATGCTGGAGACACGCAAATTTCACCTGTGGGGGCGGCTCCAATTCCTCGCTGCGAGGCTGGGACAGTCATTCAACCTCTACCCTCAGTGTGGAAACAGTCTTTTCCAAAAGTAGCGGCCACATCAATACCTCTCCTCAGACCCTGGCTGCTCCCTCCTAAAGAGAAGAAGTCAGCGTCTCCTCTTGAAATTGGGCACTGCTCATAGCCACACGGTCACTCAGAGAAGAGAATGTGGCACAAGCTAACACGGCCACAACTTCCAAGGCTAGTCTGAGAAGCGATCTCTCTCTCTCAACACTCACCTTTGCAATCCGTCCACCACACTCTCAGGAAGCGCCCAGCAGCCCATGTCACATCCACCGGCACAGTGTGAGCAGAGGGGCCTTCCGACGGCCACAGACCCAGCTTCCGGTCTTCCGGCTGCGGCCTCGGCACTGTGGAGAAAAGAGAGGCCCTCCCCGTGTGAATTCTGCAAACATAGCAAGGTTGTTTTGATGTCATGTGCAACAAAGATAGAGGAACCGGAACACTCAACGTCCTCATCTGGAGAAAAAGAATAAGAACAGTATTTGGAGGTGGTTGTGAAGATGAAGTGAGGCAATGTGAAGCTTTAGGGACACCAGGCAGGTACTACGTAGATGGGAATTACTATTACCATGGGAGTCCCCCTCTGCTCCACTCCACCTCCCTGGTGGAAAAGTCAGGCCCCCTTCCCAAATGGCACCCTTGCAGGCATTCCAGAATTAAACCAGGCTTGAGTTTTGGGGGAGCTAGGTGGCTTTGAGCAAGCAGTTTGTCCGTCCCTAACCCTTTCCAGGAAACTTCAAGCTCTGAAGATAAGAATTAACAGAGATGAAGAAAGTGGATGGAACAGCCAAGAGTGAAAAAAGTAGACAAAACCTCCTTTGTGACGAACCTGTTTCCCAATGTTTTGGTTGTCACCTAGGGCGGTATGTACCTGTATAATGTCACACACACACACACACTCGCCATTGGAAACGAGCCCTTGTGTGATCAGCAAGCATGCTGCTTGGTACTCAGGGCACCAGCTCAGAAATCTCACTTTTCTCTTTGCTCATCCATTCGTCCATTAGACAGGCCCTTCCTGAGCCCAGGTGCTGTGCAGGTACCAGCAAGTCAAGTGTATATTCCCCCTGGTCTTTACCCCTGACAGTGTCCAGTCTACAGGTAGAGGAACACAGGGGAGCCCTTTCTCTTTTTCAAGGCGTTCCTTCTTCTCCCCAAAAATCCTTAATATTTTGCTTCCATAAAAATGTGTTTCAGTTAAAGTAGTCAAAATGTAAAAAAATTAAGTTGCATATTAATGCATTTTCAATTTATGTTGATATTCTTCTCCAGTAATTTACATTATCTTCTCTTATCATCAATTGAATTCTCAACAAATACCTTTGGATAATATTTGCTAATGTTAATATCAAACTATATATCTCAGAAACCATATTAAGTGACTTGTATATAAACAAGTCAGTATATTTTATTTTGCTATGCAGTGGATTTCTTGCAGAGCTGCTTTAAATGTTGCTTTAAAAATATATACCTGTGAAATGCTAAATTTTGCCACAAGGTGGCACATCCTGGATTCTGAATAAACTGTATCATTGAAGCAGGTCTGGAAAAAACAATTTCCATAGAGAATATATTCTCTCTTTCATGTTCTTTTAAAGTAAATACCATTGAGATAAAGCCAGTTTGGGGAAAGGAGAAAAAAATCTAAGCACAATATATACCACTAAATGCTCTTTCAATGATGTGTGTGTGTGTGTGTGTGTGTGAGAGAGAGAGAGAGAGAGAGAGAGAGAAGGCTGTTGCCATAAAGCATCTATTTAGAAGGAACTCCGGCTCCTGAGTGACTAGCAGCGTGTGACACCCAGATGTCACACTGGGTAGGCTCTTTCCTCACTTACTGGAAATCCCTGATTGCTCCTTTATCACTTGTAAGGAGTCTACCTCCCATTCCATGTGGGATGCAGGGTGGACTATGAAACCGTTCCCTTAGGAATGTCTTCTCTAGCCTTTGAGGGAGTCTCAGAATACAAAGCACTCATTCATCCAACAAACATAAGTGGGCCCAGATGACATTCCAGGCGCTGCAAACGCCAGTACAGCGGAGTGACTGAGACGGCGGGCCCTGGAGCCAGGCTGCCTAAGTGCGGAGCTGTTTGCAGCCCTTACTATCTCGTGTGTGAAATGGGTGTAAGCATACAGGCGGTCACGGGGCTCAGATAACTCAGTACAAGTAGAGATTATAGAAGAGATTATGTTTCAGTGTTAAGCTTGGTAGGCATCAGCTATTATTAAGAGGCACCGCAGTGGATATAATCACACCCACAAACACCGTGACACTCCTCCCATCAAAAGGTGGGGTCTCGGTGCTTTTCCGTAGGTGTCAGCTGGCCTTGGTGACACATTCCCAACAAACGGAATGTGGCGACTTCCAGGGCCAGTTTCTAACAAGTGGCACCACTTCGTGGTGGTCCTCCCTTTCTGAGGGTGCTCCCCCGCAGAACCCTGTCACCACCTTGTGAGGACACAAGGCAAGGCCATGTGGACGGGTTCTGGCCGACAGCCCCAGCTAAGGTTCCAGGCAGACGTGGCTGTGAGGGAACCACGGGGGGCCCCGGCCCCCACCTTCACAGAGCCCCTGGGGTTGCTGAGCATAGCAGAGCTGAGCTGCGCCATCCAAGCCCTGGTCACAACGCAGGTACAGGAGCCGAATAAAAGCTGCGATTGTTTGAGGTCACTGAGTTTTGTCATGGCCAGTCGCTCGTCAATAGATAACCAGCAGAGGCACTGTGACCCACACACAAGAAGGCCCAGTTCCCTCCTTCAAAGAGTAGTCCAGCCTCGTGGACGGGGACTGTGAGACCCACACAGCAAACTCAGGGACTTCGGGTCCCACCGTCCAGAACCCCAACCTTCTCTTCACTGCCAGCACTCTGCTCCGGCATCTGGGGACGCTGCTAACGACACTTGCCCTCTGAGGGTTGCTCAGTGCCCTTGCCAATCTCCCTGCCCTGCGTCACCGGAGATGAGTCACCTGTCGGAATTGCACATCCGATCCCCGGCCCTTCGCCCTGCCCTCCCACTGCCCGTGCCCACAGTCCATTCCGAAGCGCCCCACCTGCTGCCAAGGCCCTCGGTGACCTGCTCCGGCCTGGGCCTCCCCCCGTTCCACACGTTGTGGTATTTGCTCTGCAGACTTCCCTGCTGCCCTTCTTACCCTTGCTTCGGAAACCCACAGAGCTCCCAGGGCCCCCCAGACTCCAGCCTCGACGTCGTGTTCCAGCCACAGAGCTGGAAGCCTTGCGTCTGGACGCCTGAAGGGCAGAGCAGATCGCACCTGGGGGTTCTTCAGGGGGTGACACGGCAGTTTCACCAAGAACTTCTCAGAAAGCTGCCTGAGAATCCCCTTGACACATCTCTCCTCCCGCTGCAGGTTTCCACACGGAGCAGCTGGCTCAAGTCTTCTCTCTCCATCGGGCTCTCCTACTGTCAGGCGGCTCTGCCTTCCATGCTTCCCCGTCCCCGTCAGGCACCGCGCCTGGCCTCCAGGCTCCCACTCCAGCCGCACAGACGAGGCAATCCATTCCAGAGAGCTCAGTGGGTCAGGCTCCCCGGTTCCCCTCATTCCCTCGGAGCGGAAGCGGAAGGGCACGTCTGAGAAAGGCACTCTCAGCTCTCTCGCTTGCTTTCCTTACTACAAAACGACAACGACAACAGATCAGCCCGTTACTTGATTATGCAAACGACCTAAGAAGGAACATTGGCCCCTCCACGTTAAAGTCCAGGTGAGTGGGAAGTCGCACATGCTCATACACGCGTGCTCTGCCCCTAACACCCTTCACTCGGCCACGCTGTCCTCACCTCCAGGCCTTAGGAAGTACTGCCCTGCCCCTACTTCCAATCCCATCCCCTTCTCCTGCCTAACTTTCAATCACCCTTCAGGTCTGAACCGGATGTCCCCTCCGGCAGGAAGTCATCGCTGGCTGCTCCCCTCCCCCTGCCCCGCAGCCGGGGTTCAGCACACCCCTTTCTGAGAACAGCTGCTGTCACCCAATTACAGGGCTCACGGTGCTATACTGTAATTACCTTCTGTCCCCTTCCAAACGCAGCGAGAGCCATAGCTAATTGTTTTGTTTACCACTGTATCTCTTGGTTCATTGTGTGGCAATCGTAAGTGCTCAATAAATATCTGTTGTTGGTGAAAAGAATAAATGGAATAACTTGTGTAAAGTGACTCACACAGAGCCTGACATGCATCTCCAACTCCAAGTCAAGCCACCTCTGTCTTTATACTGATCAGGTGGGTGCCCTGCTCAGAGACTCATCCTCGCATCTAGGACACGTTCATGTCCATTGATTTAAATACAGATCTCTACTGAACTGCTCACCGAAGTCAATAAAGTATTTATTTTTAAATGGCCAGGGTTTGAAATCATGCTTCACACACACACACAAGGTACTCAAGAAATGTGGGTGGACTGAATGAATGGAGAGACAAATATGAAAACGATTTCGATACAGCGTGACAAAGGCCAAAATCTATACAAAGGACAGATATGAGTATAGAGGGAAAAAATGTCAAGTAAGCTTGGGAAAGTTCTGGATTTACAATGCGAGCTTTATGAACGGAATCTTCCCAAGGAGGGAGAAGAAACAGCATGGACCAAGGAAAAAGAGGCATTTCACATTTATGACAAGCGAGTCATCCGGGATATGCACTAAAGAGAGAGAGAAAGAAAATTAGGCAGGATGTGCTGAAATGGTAGGGCGGGGCCAGTTTGTCAAGGTGTTTGGGGGCCGGCTGCCAGGCTGCAGGGTTTTGCACTTTGTCTCCTAAGTCACGGGGCAATAATAAAGGGTTCTGAGCCGGTGATTATAATGCCTGTAGCGTTCTGTCCCAGAATTCTCACTCTAGGAGCAACAGTGAAGAAAGAATGTCCAGTGTCAAGGAGTCCAATTCGGGGCTGACTGTATTGGTCCGAGGCAACAGATGCAGCCGCCTGAAGGAAGTCTGCAGTGACGGAAGAGACAACAGCTTTAATGCTGTTTAGAAAACAGTTGACGGAGACTGCCTCTGAGGGGTGTAAGGGATGGAGAAGTGGAACTCGGGGGACAATTCTCAAGCTCTCCGCTTTGGGTGGTCTGGAAGGGAGGGATATCACCACCAGCCAAGGCAGAGCGGGGAAGCAATGCCTTCCAAGTGCTGACGGGACGTTCAGGCAGAAGTATTCAACCCGTGATTGGAAATCCGCCTCCGGGGCCTGCCCCTCCTTTTCTGTCCCACAGAGCGCATGTCACCACTTCCAGGAATGGAGGACTGGGGCTGGGTGCCAACTTCACCGTTTCTCCAGCTGGACCGATGTCAACATGCAGATGCTCCCATCACTAAGCGACCACAGTGACACCGCTG